GTTACCTCTTGGTCCCACCTATTGCGTAAGTTCGGGGTATTACTGTATATTAAATTTATTATATCACATTTAAAATATTTCATAGCTTCGCAAATGCCGATATCAGTGCTGTTCAAGGACCCTTTTATAAATGTCTTGACAATGAAACACGAAAAATTCATGAAATGGCTTTGACTGGAATGTTTGGTATGTTAATGTTGTTATTTTTATTTGTAAGTACAAAGATCATAAAATTAAATTATTTTGTTTTATTTAGTTGCCGCTGCAATCAAAGAACTTCGTGCAGTGGTTCTTCCATTTATGGCAGCATTGGTAAGACATTATACAATGGTTGCTGTTAGCCAGCAGTGTGGTCCATTTGCATCAATGGGAAGACAAAATAAATTGCAAGGTATGGATCCATTAGTATTGGTCGATGCATTAGTAGCAATAATGGGCCATGAAGAAAAGGAACTCTGTAAACCTGGTCATCTCGCTTTGATGATCATTTTAGATACAGCAACAATTATCCTGTCATCAAAAGAAAGAGTAAGATATTAATTAGAATAATTGATTTTTGAAAAATGATGATAACGTATTTTAAAAATAATTTTAAGAGAATTAGAAATTCCAAGCTTTTTAATAAATATATCACACTATGAATTTAAGTTGATAGTTTTATTTATTTTTTACAGTTATTAATAATTTCTTTGTCATGTCTACTTATGTATTAGTTCTTTTGTGTATAAATAAAAATTTATTTTTACAAAATAGGCTTGCAAGTTACCATTTTTGGAATATCTTGCAGAAAGAATGTGCTCTTTGTGCTATGAAAGAGCTTGGTATGCAAAATTAGGAGGGTAAGTTCTTATAAATTTTGTTAATCAATTATGTTTTGATTTTTAACAATTTTTTAAACTGTAATTTATAATGTAATTTTTATATATAATTTTAACCATAAATAAAAATTAAATTGCTTAAATTAAAGGTAAATGGTTGCCCACTATAAAAGCTACAACTATAATTAATAGCTTATAAGAATTATTAGTTATAGTTGTTATAATTTATATATACAGTAGAATCTTATTTAGATGGATTGCAGAACAATGGATTTCTCAGAATAATGTATTTTTCTAGTGTCATCTACACTTTACATTTTTTAATTATTTAGTTAATATTTGGGTGTTTCTGGGAATTTGTGGAGGTCAATGATGCACTTTTTACATCTGGGATATGTACAATTGAAGAATTGTATGAAGAAAGTCAGCAGTCTGATATGATTGAGGAAGAGCCACCTAGTGGACATTTTGACTCTGTTCAATTGTAGTGTCAAAATTTAGTGAGGCCATAGTCTTTCCAAGTCATGAAGACCTTCCTGAAGAGTTTCAGCATAAATGAATAGGTTGTACTGTACATGACATTGCTAATATCAAGCAGTTGTTGTATTCAATAAGCAGAAGAGTGGCATCACAACAAACCAAGGTGGATCAGTTTTTTAACAAATCATGAAATCAAGTAAAGTGCTAATGAACATACATAATTTGTCTCTCTTTCTGCCTACAGTATATACAGTTTCCCTTAACTTTGTTGTAAACACATCATTTAACTTATATGTTTCTATAGAATAAAGAACAGATCTCAAGACACTGAATAATTTCAAACACTGGTATTTCTTATTTCTTCTTCTTGGTGCCATATCAGATTCCTGACGTCGGTGACACCTGGCGTGGGTTAGTAAGTAGTTAGTAACGCGCCAAGGTGTTACTAGGGAAAGTTACTACCCAGAGTGGTTTCCCGTTGCCTGCTCTGGGGCGCGATGTTACGCGAGGGGAAAGAATGCCTTCCGGGAGGACTTTTATGGGGAACTGGCCTCCTATTTAGTCATTATCGGCAAGGAGAAAACCTGGAAAACTCCAAGCAGCCAGCCTGTCCGATCGCGGCGCAAACCCACGACCAAACTCCCAGTGTTCAGGGTACTAAGACCACTCAGCCACTGGTGGGCATTTCTTATTTATAGGGGATTAAAATAACAAAAATATTTTTCGAATAACATATTTTCCTGGGTGTGCAGAATATCTGATGTTCTCAATATAACAGATTCTCAGAACAACAGATGATTTTTGGTGGCCTGAGTGATCCATTAAAACATGATTTTACTTTATATTTATGCACATAAACGTATATCTATAATTCTATAATACCCATTATTCAAATTTTTAGTTTCTAAATTTGATAATTCATTTTAATCTTTTTGACATTGATTGGTGATTATCATCATGAAAACTATTATAAATGTATCATTTTTTGTATATACTGTATATTATCATTGAATTTGTGATTGATAATTTTTCTTGTTTTATGATATAAAAATGTTTTATATATAAAATAATGCATAAATAAAATTTAAAATGAGACATTTTATAGTAAATAATAATTGCATTTATAGTTCTGTTAAGAAAACTATTTTTATATACTGCATATCAAAATCAGGTTTGGTTTAAACAAAATTTTCAAGGCATGACTTAAGATAGCTTTCAAATGGCAAATATAAAATAAGTAAATGTTTGCTAGATAATGTAAGTTATAATGACGTTTTGCATTTTTAAATTATTGATTAATTTACATTGATAGACATACATTATATTTACATTAATTATATCAATTAATTTATATTATTAATTATAGTGAAAGAAGATAAAAAATGAATTCAGATGCTGACTGAAATGGGCTTATAATAGAATTATAATTTAATATTTTTTTTAAATCAATTTTCTGAAAAATTGTTGTTTGGTTAAATAATTTTATTAGAAATTAAAATAAAGAATCATAATATTTTAAAAAATACTCAAAGTTTGTAGTTAAATATGTAAATAAATCTGTTTAATTTCATAAACATTTGTTTATGTTCTAACTAACATTGTTAAAGTTTGTGACATTTTAAAATTTCAGATGTATTTCATTGAAATTCTTATTCGAACGGATGACATTAAAATGGGTATTTGCTCATCAGTACTTATTTTTGAGAGCTTTATTATTTGTCATGATGGATTTAACAGGAGAAGTATCGAGTGGTGCAGTAGATATGGCAAAGTGAGTAATATTTTATTTTCATATTTCAGTTGTTTAGAAATTTGTAAAATGAAGCTATTAATCTGTCAGTACCAATGTATTTATTTTTAAACAATTATTATGTATTTATTTTATAAATTTCTAATACATATTACATGTTGCATGCTTCATTCTCATGTTTTTATTTTCAGCTAAAAATGATACTTTGTGTGGTAAAGATGATTACTAGTCTAGAGAATTAAACCTCCATTTTTACATAATATTGTTTTTATATATACAGTAGAGCGTCGTTTATCCGAATCAATTGGGGACTGAAGTTGTTCGGATAACTTATTTTTCAGATAACTGATTATGTACAAAAAAATATATTAACCTATCCCATGTTGAAATTTTTCTCTGTTGCGTGTCACTTCGCGTTGAATTTTCGTCGATGTTAAGCCTAACGTAAACTTTTTAAAATAATAATCGTGGCTATTGTATCGTTAAAAATTATTTCTTTATTTTTTACAAACAAAATAAATATATTGAAAAATATAAAAACAAAAAGAAATTATACTTCNGAATTAGATCTAATCTTGAAAAAATGCTTACACTTTGTGGGACACCTATTATTCCTGATGGAACAAATAAAGAACTTATTGATGCACAAACAAAATCACTTCATGAAGTTATTCAAGAATTGGTTCGTCAAGTAACATCTCCTAATACATGTGTACGAGAACAAGTATGTATAAGCACGAAATTAATTGGAGTTTATAAATATGTGTTTAAACAAATTATAAAATTATTTTGCTATACAGATTTTTTTATAAATGTCATTTACATCACCAATAATAATAAAAATTCAGAAAATTATTTAATTTTTATTAAATGAAATAAATGAAAATATCTAATAAAGTTTTAAAAATCTATAAGTTAATTACATTGATTATATATTATAAATTAAAAAACAGTTAAAATATTCAATAAGTGAATGAAAATGAAGAATAACTAAGAATCATATCTCAGTTAGTTTCAATTTTTTCTAAACTACAAATTTATCTCTCATTTTCTTATAATAGCATATTTCAAAAAAGCTAAAACATCTAATATATTTTATTCATAAACTATCTTTGAGAATATCTAATAAATCATGTTAAAAATGGTTACAGCTATTTGAATTTATTAAAGGTAAACAAAACATTAATAAAAAATATCTGTTTTATTGGAGCTCACATACATTAATTAATGTTACTTAATGTAAATGAACTTTAATAAAGCAGAATTTTGTTATTAATTTAAGAAATTGAAGTTTATTATTTATAAAACATATTTATGTTTTTAGTTTGATATATAAAATTTTGTTTCAGTTAGATAATTTATTTTAATACATCTTGGATTTTAAATCATGATACTTTTGGCAATTTAAATTATGTGATCAAAAGAGAAATTGAATGGCATTAGATAAAAATTACTGATTTAAATCCTATTCTGAATCCTATTGTTTCTGAATTTTAATAAATTTTGACATTTAATTAATTCTGGGTTGTTACGTTATATGAAAACTTTTATAATGTCAATTAAAATTAAATTATTTTGTGTGATTAGTTTCTTCACTTAAAATAGTAATGAAATTGTAATAGCTATAAAAATGATTCAAACTTTATATAATTATTTTATTTGAAAAAAAACTTGTATCACTAAGATATTTAAAATTTTGAAAGAT